AAAAAAATCAAAATAGGCTTTTGTGTCAAAATATTACATTGGATCACAGGAAATATTGAGTACTTACTACAAAATACTTTTCTGAAAATTAGAAAATAGAGTTCATTAACAGCATGAAAATGTGATAAGTACTCTCAATTCAAACTATCATTATGGAAATAACTACAGTTATCCTTCGCACAACCTAAGAAATCAAGTAACTGGCTGGGAATAATACTGCAACTTTTGATGAAAAACTCATCGGCACATTTAAAGCCAATTCAAGAATCTCAACGTCGGCTTCAGCGTGTCCAGAGTTATGCTCTCTCAAGTCCTGGTCTTCCCCTCTTTCAACTTTCCCTTTTAAAACATGCAAACTGCATTATTATACGCCCCAGGGAGTAGCGAGGCGCAACGTCTGTTACACAAAGTATGGATTTTGACCAAAACCACCGGTCTCTATAGGGTCGGTTCTGCACTGAAAAGCATTTGCAAACTCTAGTCCTATCAGTGTCACTTCCCGTCCATCTAGGTCTCTCCTAGGTATTCGTTTCCTACAGAAGCGGAATACGGGGCAAACGGGCCCTGCAGTACCAGCCGGATAAAGTCTGGGCCCTGAGCACCAACTTCGACGAGGTAGCTCCCCCGCCCGCAGGTGCTGGGAGCGTGGCCCTGGGACAATCTAGGTAGGTAAGGGGCCCCTTTTCTCCAGCGGACTTCAAAAGAAAAGAAACAAACGGGGGTGGGGGTGGGGAGCGGCGTGCGGGAGGGAGAGGGGCTCTACCCCGTGCCCCTGCCTCCATACACGTGCACACTTTTTGTTGCACCCGCTGCCCTTAGAGTCTCAGATTCAAACGTTCCAACGGCGTATTATCTGAGTTCCCCTCCGTAAAGGGATATCAAATTGGGCGGGAGTTCCCGCGAACTCTGACCCCGCGCCTTCGCGAAGACTTAGGACCAGGAGAGACGACGGGGGAGGGGGTGGTTGGCGCCGCTCTCGAGAGAGAAGCCGCTGAACGCCGTTTCCTGTCCTCTCCTCTCTCTCTAACACGCTCTCCTGGGGCGGTACCCCTAGCCCGTACTCTCCAGAATCCTCCCGCCGCCAGTCACCTCAGGGCTTCCCTCCGGCCTCCCCCCAGGGACTTCCTCCTCGCGGCCCAACTAGGCCCCAGGACCCGGCGGCGCGCGCGGCTCGGCCTGCAGGCCCCACTAGGCAGGCGAGCGCCGAGGTACGGCTCTGGCCCATTCCCGCCGCCATTTTCCGGCGACCGTCGCTGCCGCGTAGGGGGGACGATCCCGGAGGAGGAGACTGCGCAGGGGCGCACCGGTCTCCGCCGCAGGGCAGGGGGGAGCGTCCGCCGGCACGGAGGGCCGTCAGGATCTTCGAAGCCTCCCCTCGGTGGCCACACCGTCCCGAGTTTAGGCCTGCTGTCGGGCCTCACCGATGAGGCCCTCACCTCACCCCAGATCCCCGCGCTTCTACTTACGCGGAAGAATCCCGCGTCCATCTTGCTGCCTCGCTCGGAGATCGCTCCCTATCCCAAGATACACCGCGCCGCCGCGACGGAGGGCGGGACCGGCAGGGAAAGCCGAGCGCCGGGACGCAGCGCGCGCCGTTCCACCCGCCCCTTCGGCCGACACGAGGCCGCGCCTGCTCAGTGCGGGGAGCACCCGCCACGCGTGCGCATGCGCGCCCAAGGGGCGAGCCGCTGCCGGACTCCGAGACTCCCGAGTAGCCAGGCCGGGGAGGAGAGTCTCGCGACCGCAGCCAATAAGAACGAGAGAAAAAGAGAGAGAGGGAGACAGAGAAAGAGAGAGAGAGAGAGAGAGAGAGAGAGTTGGGTAGCCCCGCCCTGCGAATCCTTTTGTGGCACTGGATCAGCCTTGTTCGCGCAGCGCCACTTGACCCATCCTTCGACCCGTAGTGGAGGAGGCCTCCCGCCCTGGGGGCTCCATGGAGCGATTGAAGAGAAAGGCTGTTACCTCAGAGTGACGCGGGCGGCGCGGCCCGCGCGCGGAAGAGAAGCCTGCCGGCCTCTCCTGTCATCGTGAAAGTTGTGACTGTGTTGGTTTTACGAGTCCACGGGTGACTAAGATCGGCTCTAACGTAGTGAAGCTGTGTAGTGTGAATGAAGTCCACCCCGTGGCCCCGGTCTCCTGGGCTTCCTCCCCCGGTCGGCGCACAGCTCCCTCGTTTTGGGAGCTGGCCGAAAATGCAAACGCCCGTCGGAGGAGTTTCGGCTCCGGCCGCCCGGTAACCACGCCGACGGGCAGGAAGCGGACGAGAGCGCCCGGGCCCGGGGCTGCGGGTCGGGCAAGGCTCCGCCGGCTCGCCGCCCAGCGCGGGAAGGCGCGTGTCCCTCTGGCCATATTTTATAAAGTTAGCTCTCCCTGCGCGCTCACGCTCTCCTTGCCCGCCCTGCCATGGCCCGCATCACGCCCCGAACCGTGTGGATGTCGTTCCCGCGGCTCTGAATACGAGTTCTGTGCTAACAAAGTCGAGCTCAGGCTCCTCTCCCGGTCTTCCAGCTGGTACAGGCAGCTTCCTGCTTGGCATTTCCACTTGGAGAGACATCCCCAACTTAACGTGTCCCGGAACCGAACCCCTGATGCCCACCCTTCTCCTCCCCCTCACTCCTCACGCACCCCAGAAGACCGACCTGCCCCTCCCAAAGATCCCCCGCCTCCGTCGATGGCAACATCTTTCCTGTGTTGAGGCCACGAGCCTTGGTGTTACTCCCGACTTCTTTTTCTCTTTCACCCCACTTCCAGACTGCCGGGAAACCCACTCAGCTATGATCCTGGCTCGAGGTGCCGTCATCTTTTGCCCGAACCTCCGCACCGGCTTCCTAACTGGTCTCCCTTCTTCTACCCTTGTCACTGAGCATCTTTTCTAAATGCAGCAGTCAGAGTGATCCTATTAGAAACCCTTAGTCATGTCGCTCTTAAGCCCCAAACCTCCCCAAAGTCCCTCATTTTTCTCAGAACAAAGGTTAAAATCCTACCTGATGGCTCCCCTATTTCTGTGATCCTCTTCCTGGGGCCCTAACACTGCTCACTGCTTGAACTTTCTAAAAGCTTGCTATTGCCTCACAACCTTTGCACTGGTTGTAACTTCTGCCTAGAACGCTCTACCATCAGATAATCTCCTTGGTAAATTTCAGGGTTTTACTCAAGTATCACCTAGTCAATGAGGTCCACCTTGACTATCCTCCTGGAAATTGCTTACACACTCTCCAGAACCCTGATGCCTCTAATCTACTTTGCTTTTTCCCATAGCTTTTACCACCCTGTAATATTTACTTACCTATCTTTAACGTTTATTGTGTGTTCCCCACACTAGAACGTAAACGCCTTAAAGTCAGGGCATTTGTCTTTCTTGCTCACTGATGCGTCCCTAGCACCTAGGACAATGTCTGGCACGTCGTAGAGGCTCAATAAGATTTATTTTTTTTAACTTTTTGTTAATGTTTATTTTTTTTTTAATTTTTTTTTCAACGTTTTTTATTTTTGGTACAGGAGGCATAGAGCAGAACGGGAGGCAGAGAGGAGAGCCACAGAATCGGAAATGACTCCAAGCTCTGTTTACACAGCCCAGAGCCTGACGCGTGAACTCGAACCCCGGACTGCAATGTGACCCGGCTGAAGTCGGAGTAACGAACCGGTGCAGCCCAGCCCCCCCAGCCCTCAATGTTTTTATTTATTTTTGAGAGAAGAGCAGACCGACAGAATAGGGCAGAAAGTACAGGGGCAGAGCAGAATCGGATGCAGGCTCTGAGCTCTCAGCACAGAGCCGGATGTGGGGGCTGGAACCCATGAGTCATTAAATCATGACCTGAGCCAAAGTCAGACGTTTAACCCACTGAGCCACCCAGGCACCCCTGCATAAAATTTATTGAATGAATGACAGCATTGTCAAAGCATCAAAGATGGGGAGCTAACTGGCTTCCACAGAACAAGCCAGTTGACCAGTTGGAACTATGAAATCTCACTGTGATCTGTGGTTCTGATCAGTCATTGTGTTTTATCTTTACTATCTCTGCTCTTGTGCTGCCAACCCCATAAATGTTGCTTTCTTACAGTCCTGCCATTGACCCTTTTTACTTTTTACTCAGCAAAGATGACCTATCTGTCTTCTCTTGGTTCCATGACCATTTCATCTTCCAAACCTATATATGTGAGACAAATTTCTGCCCCAGACCCATATGTGCAACTTCTTGTTGACATTCACTTGGGACGTCCTATAGGTACCTCACACTCAACATGTCCCAAAATGTCTTCATCTTCTTTCACTTGCCAACCCTTTTTTTCCCATTTTTCAATGAATGAGCCTACCTTTCTATCTGTCATCATTCATACTCTTCAGACTCCTGCCTTTTCATTTCTGTTGCTTTCCTTCTTGCCCCATTGCCTCCTTAATTTGGATTACTGTCTGGGCCATTGCAGCCACAACCTATTAAGATTTCCCCTCCCTTCAGAGTTGATGTCTCCACCCTATATTGAGAGTGATTTTCTAAGGTAATAGTCTTAATCCTTTCACCCTTCAATTTGAAAACCTTTCTGTGGCTCCCTATTGTCCTCTAGATAAAGCCCAAGCTAGTTATTTTGGCCTACAAAACCCTTTATGATTTGTTTATTGCTCCCTTCTTCAGACTCATCACATGGACCAATCCTCTTCCTGGCCACATCCTTCACTTCTAAGCTGCAGCCACACTGAACTACAGATGTGGTCTAATTACGAACAGGTTAGGTTTCAAAAGTCAGTTTCTTGTCTGTATGTTGGTAAATCTAAAGTTACTAGGAGGTGACTCATATCACTTCCTCAAACGAGCCTTTTCTGACCAGCCTTCTGAAAATAGCTGAACCCTCTCCCCACTCACTCTATCATACCTGGCTTTATTTTTTCTTCATAGCAATTAATAGTATCTGACATTGTTATCTATTTTGTTTACATGCTTACCGTTTTGCCCCCATTAAAAAAAAAAAAGAAGAAGAAACTATGAGTTTCTTGTTCACCATCAAAGCCTTAGTGTCTAGAAGAGTATCTGCTACATTCTTAGAGCTCAGTAAATATTTGGTGAATAAATGCGTGAGTAAGAGTCAGGACCAGTAACGACAGGCATTTCTACCAATGAGTGAGTCTGTTCTTTGAAATAGTAACCTTTGATTCTACAAGGGGAGTCCACATTGAAAACTCTGCTGAGGCAAATAAGCCTTCTCCCAGCAGGTGCAGTGTAGAAGTACTTGGCAGTGAAGGTATTTGCAGATGCTATCTCCTGCACACTTTGATGCTGTGCAGATCAAAATGGGTCTTAAAGCCAAGAAGCCATCCCCAGTGAGCCTCTGGTGGTTCTTTGCTAGGTCTGGTCTTTAAGTCCTCAAATATGTTCTGAGCCTCTAAAAGCTAATGGGCAGCCAACCTGAGTGTTGATCCTCTAGGCCCAGAGTCCAAGACTTCTTCATTTCATCAACCACTTTTCCTCATTGTTCATTGATTGCTGTTCCTGATAGAAGTGTTTCACCTGGTCCCTATTCCCTCTGTCCTTTAAAGCCACTGGTCCTGAAGATAACCATCCCTCCAGGAGGTGCATCTTGTGTGATTTTCTCACCCCTTTCAGCTTTTGTTCTCGTCTCTGCATCTGTCTCTGTCATTTGCTTCTTTCTTTCAGCTCTGCATTTGTGTTTCCTAGATAAAACAGATGAACAGTCTTCACAAAATATCTCAAAAACCAAGTGCAAATTTAGCAAACAAGCCACGGACTAAAATAATCCCATAACTGAAATGAAAATGCCTGATGGATAAAAGCTGATGCATTTTGCTCTGGAAGGTGTCTTTGAGCACATCAGTGAGTGTATTATCTATTGCCGAATAACTCCCCACATTTAGCAACTTGAAACATTAAATATTTGTTATCTATCATGCACTATTTCTGTGAATCAGGAATCCGGAGTGGCTTCTTTGGATGGTTCTGGCTCAAGGCCTTTTAAGAGAATGTAGTCAAGATATTGGCCTAGGTTACAGTCAACTGGGCCTGGAAAATGTGTTTCCAAGAAGGTTCACTCACATGGCTATTGGCATGAGGCCCCAGTTCCTTGCCACAATGACTTCTCCATAGGCTGTTTGGGTGTCTTCATGACCTGGTAGCATCCCCCAGAGCAAATGATCCAAAAGAGAGCAAGACAGAAGCCATGGTGTCTTTTAATGCCTAACTTCAGAAGACACACACCATAGTTTCCACACTATCCTATTGGTGACACAGGTTACTCGTAATCAGTTTTGGAGGGGACAGCACAAGAGTGTGGATACTAGCAGCTGTGGATCATTGGGGGCCATCTTGGAGGCTGGCTACTGGGATAAGTATTACTGGGATAAGTAAGTTGCAAATGTAGGGGCACCTGGGTGGCTCAGTCAGAAGAGCATGCGACTCTTGATCTCAGGGTTGAGTTTGAGCCCCACGTTGGGTGTAAAGATTACTTAAATAAATAAAATAAAAATTAAAAAAAATATGTAAGTACAAGAGTTTGTATACT